ACCTGCTTTCATATGCGCTGTTGTGCAGCTTTTTCCAAAAAGAAAACTTCTTAAAATCGACTTTAATCATCAGACCTTTTTAGACACTTGTGGTATTTGTATTTTAATGATCTTTTCTTAACTGCTGACTCGGGTTTTTCTGCTCTTTTAGTTATTTTAGATGTGTTGTGGCGTACCTCAGGGGTCCATGTTGGGTCCTACTCAGTTCTCATTATATATGCTGCCTTTGGGATCGATTTTCAGGAAGTACAAAATTCACTTCCATTGTTACGCTGACACCATCCAGATTTATTTTCCTGTCTACGAGATGTTAGAGACTGGTTAACACAGCTTTTATCACCTGCGTCAGATTCCCAAAGCAAAATCCCATCTTCCTCCAAAAGACCTTAAAAATCCATATTTATGCTTTCATCAGCTCTAGATTGGACTACTGCAACAGCTTGTATCTGTTTGTTGCTTGCAGGCAGTCAAAATGCTGCTCGTTTAACAGATTTTGCATCACTCCAGTTTCATCAGGTCTATAAAGGCTCCCTGTCCATTTTTTATATTAGAAAATGTGAGATCCTTTTACTCATTTTTTATTTTTAAATCGCAACCAACTATTTAACCAAGCAGTGCAACTTATACAACTCCAAATTCTCATAGTACAGCCATGGTTTCCATTAAAGCAGTTTAGTCTATTTTATTGTATTTTTGTTTTTTATATTTTAGTTCACTGTATCCTTTTAATTTATTGATCAGTTGTTTCATCTTGTTTTCTTTAACTAACTTGTAAAGTACTTCAGTCAACCTTTTTGCTTTCAAATCTATAAGAGAAATAAATATGTATTGTATTTTTGATCTTATCAATATTGACCTTTGACTTCCAGCATGCTCAACTTTTTTTAGCAGCTGTTAAATCGCTGCAAGTCACAGTCTCTGGAGGCCCATAAGAGAAGTTCTTCCAGCCTAAGTGCATGTGTGTGATGGAGCATTTGAAAGTTTGCAAGCAGCAGGTAAGAGGAGTGAATCCCGACGTACGTGTTTTGTTCTTCCAGTTCGTCCTTCCTGTTCATCATGGCTACAATGGCCTGACGCAGCTCCACTGCAGAAGAGACACTGCGGTGAGATTTCTGCATAGAAACTGCTTCCAATGCATCACAGACACACAAAGACTACACACAGTAATATGCATAAACTCATATCATACAGCTTTCAAATGTAGAAATAACAGCATCCCACACGCCGCACTTGCTGTATTAATGTGAGATTTTTGTTCTGTCACAAAGATGAACTGCTTTGATAAAATCAGGTTTAACTTCTTTTTTTTTTATTCAGCTGACAGGAGTTATACAGAATGAGATCTATCGGACTCACAGAGAGCAGCACTTTTATTGCCACAATAAAACATACTTTTGTGGTAGCTACTAAAAACTTTGAAGAAAGAAACAAAGCCAAGAAAATTTAAGAGTGAATCCAGGTTTAGATTTGGGTTCTCTGCTCTGCCGTGCTAGTAAACAAAAACACAATTACCTCACAAATATCTAATAATTACAATCATCTGAACATAATTTGCTTTTATTTTACTGAGCAGGCATCCCCTCTTTTGTACTCGATTCTCACAATAGAGCAACGTAAACTGTGCTGTTACTGTGTGCGCCACTCCCGAGGCTTCAATTAGCTCCATTCCAACTGTCAGCAGGACGACAAAACCATCATCTTTGGCTCAAATGTAACACCAGCCATGTTCACGGGGTTGTCAATAAGAACTGTCATAAGCTTAAACAACCAAAGAGGTTGATGAGCCATCATAATATCACGGCTGTGTTCATACATGTGTTAATAAACATAAACATCCCCACAACTCACAGCCCAGTTTATTTCAAATTAAAAGCTTGACCAGATGCTGAAGTTCAATCAGAATAAGGGATTACAGTACCAAGGTTATACTAGGTTTTCTACCTTCTGAACTTCTCTCCGACTGTGTTGATCAGTAATACAGACCTTTATTAGCCAACAGTAGCCTGACTGCTGTTACCGAGAAATCCTCAGACCTGAAAATGCAGCAGGCCTCGGGTTCCCTGGTGTAGGAAAATGCTCGGCCATCGATGCCACTGACTGGACCTAACATACCCCACAATGCATCCAACTAGGAAGCTCTGGGATATTATGTGTCAAGCATCCAAAGCCACAACATAGCACCACAGTCTGTCCAGGAGCTCACTGATGCTCGGATCCATGTCTGGGAGGGGATCCCCGGGACAACATCCACAGGAGTGTGCCCAGATGTTATTATGAGTGCGTACAGGCATACGGTCTACTTAGCCACAGGATCACCTGATGACTTCATCCAGCCCTCACACTGTTGGTGGTTTCGCTTTGACTGACTGTTAAAATCAGTAAAGATTTTAAGCTTCAATATTTAGTTCATCAAGATGTGTGATTTAAGTGTTCCATTATTTATGTATTTGTTTTCGAGCAGTGTATTAACACAAATCCATGGGATCAAATTCAGATTGTTTATATCTTCATAGTGGCAGGGAGGCAATAATAACAGAATGGTGGCTGTCAAGTGCCAGGAGCAAAACTGTGTGACTAAAACTCGGGAACAACTCAAGAAAAGATTGAAATGAATCACTGAAAATCAGAGTTTGAGTGCACAGCAAAATATCTGAAACTGGGCAGGACCACTCGAAACTTTGGATACTGTCGCTCTAAAGTTTGGCTAAAAAAACAAAAACAAAAAAGAAGAGCAAGCTGAAGCAGTAAAAAAATTCTTGACCTTATGAATTATATATGTCTATGGAGTTACATCAAAAAAGACAAATCAAATAGCTCTGAGGAAAACAGTTTTTTTTCCTTCCAATTTCTGACATTTTATAGACCGGAAAATCAATTCACAGAAAAAATAACCGACAGATTAATCCCTAATAAATATAACGGTGACATTTGTGTCATATGTGTGGCAGCAACTTCAGTTTAAAGGTCTCCGGGTCTTTTTCTTCCAGCTTAAAGCGTCAGTCAGTGGAACTGTATCAGTCGCAGCCAAAGTCTGCCAGCAGTCTGCTGCCGGGTGATGTTAATCTCCATCCTGATGTTGAGGACAGATTTGGGCCAGGCTGCGCAGTTGCACGGTGACTCATCTCCATAGTTACGCTCGGAGGTGAGCGTTGAGGTTTCAAAGCGCCTAACTAGGCTGTTACCAGGACTTCCATAAATATTAACCGTGAGACACAGAGCTAATGCATCCTGCATTTTGCACACATGCAAAGACATTAGCTTTGTTTTCATGGCTAATGTAGGGTGTCGATATAGCCACAGACATGAGTAGGTCTCTCCTCTAACCCCGGGATAAGTGCCTGTTTGGAGGAGGACGAGGAAAAAGGAAAGGCGAAGAAGAAAAGCGATGACAAGCACAAGAGTGAGGAGAAAGGGGAAAAACGCGATTATCTACACAGCTCCATTCTCCACATCAGCAGGCCAGAAATAAACGTGACCTTTAGTCCAACCACGCGTTCACAGCGGGTGCCACGGACGAGCCATTAGGGACTTCAGTAGAGCCAGACGCCCCTCTGTCCTCACAAGAGGACGTGAACAAATTACAGTACAAGTCTGTGTGCAGGAAGACAGACGCACGCACCTCTGTGCTCACGCTCTGCCTGGAAGAGCCATCGCTCCAGGAAAACAAGACAGCGTGCACTTCCGCCAGCACGCCCCGGCTCAATCGTTCCAATAACAGATGCATTAGGCGAGAGCTACGCCTTGTAATAAGGGAGTCTTGTGAATTACAAACTCCATACTCTCCAATCAGTGGACCGCTTGGCCTCATGAGCTGTCAGACCCAGAAGGAAATCACTGAGGCAGAGCTCTCACTGCACCCCTCATCCTTCTTTTTTCTCCTAACACAGTTTTTCCTTCAGGTTCTCCAGCACGCCTTTAAATAAATCCAGCACCTTCTGAATTTAGCAAAAATTTACTCACTAAACAGGCAAACAACATCATGGGCTGTTTTACTGCCCTTCAGTGTGCTCTAATATAAATTTATAACACAATCTAAACCTAAGTAATTTAGTATTTTGCATGCATCACTCTGGTGTTTTCACAGGCTCACCGTTACTCTTGTTGACAAGTCCACTCAACTCCACGTATGAAATAGTGGCACGTCTCTATGGAAAGTTTAACCTGCAGTTTAGATCAATACAAAGTG